TTCTTACCTTCGTTATGATCCTCATTATGTAATGGTCGAAGTTCGAAATACAAGGATGCCACGCACGTAATTTATTCGTACGATGACACGAGAGGCAGAACCCGCATTTTCTATATACAAAAAGAACTATTACTTTTCACATCTCTTCCGAAGAGCTGACCCAAGAACAATTACAATTTAGAAAGTATTCGGGAATTACCAATTATAAGATACAAAAGCACCCTACCCTGTTATTTTCTTGTAATCATTTTAGAGCTTTTGCTTAAATGTTATTCTGAGAAAATACTCATACTGACTTGTCCAGAAGCCTATGCCTTCATAAGATCTGCTTGGCGACACGAAGAACCGCACAATACGGTCTCATACGCAAAATTCACACCATCGTGGTGTGTACCAAAGTGTTTCGCAGGACTCCGGCGTTTCTAGAGTCGGTTACTACGAGGAGAGACCACGACTGTCCCTGAGACGCATTGGACGTCTTCCTTCGCATGAAATCGAACCTTAGAAGCTTGTATAAATCTTTCTAAATTGCCCACTTTAGAGTCAGGGGCACGACTTTTTTAGAATGACGTTCTGTTGCACTTCCACGCGGTATTTAGAGCTGACATATGACATGTCTCCTGCCCCACAAAAAAAACAGCGACGTATGACTAGATATAAAAGTTTAATAGATAAACAAATAGTTTAGGCGTCAGGAGCTTCTATGGTCACATCGGGTGAAGGAATATCTTCCAGTATCTCATCCTCATCGGGTGGGGCTGAAGGTTTCTGGGGTTGCGAGTCGTGATCCGCGTTAAGTTTTCGCTTTAGGCGTCGTTTCTCCGCTTTTAGGAGTCTGAAATGAGTAAAGAACGAGTAAACCCAGTAAAAAGACAGAATGGAGATCAACTGTACTTAGCAAAACGCTGACCTCACCAAGGTAGTGAGCACTATATGGCTACTAAAGGGAAAAGACTTGCTGATATTTTGATACTGGAGGGGAGCCTGGGAAAAACTTAGTCCAATAGCTTGCTCAGAGGATGGTACAAATTTCCACAGGATTTTCGACCACAAAACATAAACAATATTAACAACAGGCAGCAGAAGAGTGGCTGAGTATAAATGAAGACCTCATTGGCACCCCTTGGTTGCGCCCGTCTCCTTATGACAGATGTGCAGACACAGAAGTCGATGGGGGCTGGCTTACGCCATTCGGACCGCATTAACAGCCCTGCGATTTACAAAAAAATAGTTAGCAAGACCGCTGGTTACTTGTCGCAGTCGTCATTGGCTGTCCTCAAACTCTAGACTGGTTGACTCTGTTATCGAAGAAGCTTCTGACAATCAGCAGGCGTAATTTAAAACGGCCGGAGCCATACAGCGAACACGATATTAGTAATTTTTGATAGCATTTAAAAGCCAGAGGCAGCTGTTTCCATTTTGTTCTTTTATCTAAAGCAGTCCTACCTGACACAAGGGAAATACTCAACTTTTGGGTTGGAGAGGTACACGAAACCGGCAAACCACGGTGGTATAAAGGTGGTAAACAATTATATTCACCTCCCTTTTACTCAGCATAAGCACCTCGCATATGCATACAAGAAACTGCTTTACTTTTTTCTCTGTAGTTTTTCTTGGTCTGTCTCCTTGAAGATTGCTTTTTTCTCCGCCTTAGTGACCTCATCGGAACGACGGATAAGGGTGAGAAAGACGCCGCCAGGCGTTCGTCGGCGCGACCCATCCTAGTAAGGGTCCAAAAACGGTATTTTGAGTACAATTCAAGGGCATAGCATTGGCTGTGCAAACGATAAAGTGGTAATCATATGAGCTTATGTCAAACGGATGAGCGGCAAAGCAGCAATCTGACCTAGCGTGGAAAAAAAGTCTGTAATTTAAAACGGTGAAGGTGCGTACTCGTAGAAGCAACCAGTAAAATTGAGTTTAATTCGCAAGTACAAAATTAGGCACATATCTGCTAGTTTAGGATTTATTAATCATAATTTGAATGCTCGTGCAGCGAACGTGCTTCTACATGGGTCGGTATACTCATCAGATACTCTCGGTCCTCCTTACTGACTTATCCCTAGGTTGAATGTGTGGCCGGATCTCGTCGACTGAGCCGCAAGTTGAGAATAGGCGTCATTTCTCCGCACTGCTGCCGCGTGTTCGGCAATCTGCATTG